CATTTATGCCTGTGGTTAAATTAGAAGAGGCCACAGTGAGATGTATTAAATGGCTTGTATTCTGGTAAACTTGGATTATTTTGCTGCTATTGCTGTTATTAATAATAATAATTGGCATCTATTCTGTATTGTATAGTTCATAATGCAAGGACACTGTGGGTGAGCATTCTTCACACTTGTAGGCAAGTAAACTGAGGTTCAGAGAAGTTGTGGACTCTGCTAATAAGTAATTGGCAGAGTCAGACTCTGGGTCTCATGCTCTTTCAGCTGCACTGTATTGTCCCTCATGTAAAACTGACCAAAGAATGATACTTTTAAAATCATTTCTGCATGCCACAGGAATGTTCAAGGTTGATGACACCTAGGGAGGGAGTCCTGAGGTCATGCATGGTGAAGGGAAACAAGGAGTGGAGGCTTCTCAGAGTAAGAACCCAGGAGGAAGTGAGAAGGTTCAGTCTTCTTTACAGTGTTCCAGGAATGTGTTCGAATTACATGGCTGACCCAACCCTCAATGTCAAATCTTGCATAAGAAATAGACAGAAATGCGTTACTAACCTTGAATATTGCGAATATTGAAAATATTCCAATCTGTCCCTATGAAGTCTGAGTTCCCATTATTAGAGATGATTTCATATTAAGGGAGCACTCTAGCCCCATGATTTCCAGGATTTGAGATAGCAATTTATCTTTGATAAGACTCCTGATTGGAGAAATTGCCACCACTCTGAAAGCTCTGCTATGGCCTCAGACATGATCTTTTTTTTTTTTTTAGCACAGGGAACATAAGACCAAATGTTGGTCGATTGAATGACTACCTATGGCCAATTTCCCTAACCATGCTATAGTTTCCTATTCAAAGGCATTGCGTTATTTTCTAATGTCAGAAGAATAAGGATGTTTCTTATTCTTATATTTCTTATTCTTATATTTCTTTGACCCCAATATTTCTTTTGAAAAGAAATATTGGGGTCAAAGACCAAGAAGTGGCGGAAATTGAAGCCTTAGTCTATGGTAATTTTTGCTTTTGAAGAATGTACACAGTAAGAGCCAGAATGTACCCAGTAAAAGGGGCTGTGAGATGCAGGCACCTGCTGGAGCTTTGAGCAGCTCCCCCGCACCCCCCGCCCCACCTCCTCGCCACACATCCTTTACTGGGTGCTCCCCTTCAGCGATGAAGATTTGGATGCTTATAATGATGATAATGTGTAAATGCATTTTCAGCTATTTTATTAAGCTGGCCTTTCCAGGTTCATTATCATTAATATTTATGCTTGGGATATGTTCCTCTAGAGATTCTGCAAATAGCTCTCCTATTGTTTAGGTAAAATATCTAGCAAGTTGGACTAAGGGAAGGCACCAGTGAGCCCAGGCTTATACTTTTCATAGGAAACAAGAGCTTTATCAATGGTTTTGTATAAGCGTGAATCTTTAGGTCCAGGCATCTTTTAAATAGAGCTAATTAACTGTGTTGTTGTGAATCCTAGGCAGAAGGTGAATGTCTCTGTGCAGGAAGGCAGAGGGGGCTGGTACAGATTCCCCAAGGTCATATCCTCTTTTGATGTAACTGGCTCTGGCAAGTTCTAATTTTTGCTGCTACCATCTCTGTCTCCAACAAAGGGCTGCAGCTTCCTCTGGATACAAAGTGCAGGCAGGTCCACAGCAGAATTCTCTGCCAAGTGGGATAGAAGGGTTGTCTTCTCCAGAAGAGCCCACATAGAGCCCTGGCATTTGCAATGGTGTCATCTGCACTTGTCAGAGAGTTCCCTCTGCTGCATCTCAAATGGGGCTTGAAACTTCTGGCTGGGCCAGGAGGAAGGATGTGGCTTTACCATGCAGCTGTGCATCTGCCAATGAGCTCTGGGTGGGCTGGGGAACTATGGGGAGATGACAGATTGAGGTATTGAAATCAAATGTTATCTCTGGCACATTTTATAACAATGAGCTAATCTGTTCCTACTAAAAACAATCTTTTTTTTGAAAGATATAAATGGGGTCTCACAAGAGCATGAACCCCCTGATAAGATCTTAAGCACCAACTCACAGGCGTGACCAGTCTAATACAAACCCACATACCTGATTCCTGAAAGATACCTGACCTCTGGCTCAGGCGAAATCCTCATCTGTAAAACCAAGGGGTTGGACAGATGATCTCTGGGGTCCTCTCCCTCAATAATGCATTTCCTTGCTGTTTAGATTTTAACAAGATCTTGTTTATGTTAGAAACTGTCAGCAGATTCTAAAGCCGTCCCTGGATGAGCGGGTATTATGGTACCCAGACCTCACTGGGCTGAAGGATGAGGTTGGGTCCATGGTCAGTGTCTGGTTTCTAAGGGTGCAGAAGGAAGGGAAGTGCTCACCTGTGACTAAGACCTGCTTTTTGGCTGAATTTCCTCTATTTACAGGCTGCATCTGGGTCCATTCAGGAGGTGCTCAAGGGGGATAGGGAGCAGGTGGCACTAGGGACTCTAGGGAGAGCAAATACAAATTCAATACCACCCAGAGGTAGAGAAGAGAACAAGGGGTTCCAAAAACAGTTAAAAAGAACTAGAGACAGGACAACCAAATGCAATGTGTGACCCCTGATAGGATCTTGGATTTAAAAAAATACGGTTATAAAGGACATGATTGGAACTATTGGGGGAATTTGAATATAATTGTATATTAGGTGATATTGTATCAATATTAAATTTCTTAAGTATGAAATAGTGGTTATCATTATGGATATATGTATATACACACAGAGTTGAAGCAAATATAAAATATTAAAAGTTGGTGAATGTGGGTGAAGCTTACATACATGTTCATTGTGCTATTCTTTCTACTCTTCTGCAAGTTTGAAGTTTTTTAAAATAAATAGTATAGGAAAATCGCTTGAAGGTCAGATATGTGCTATATCAGCAGCCCCCAACCTTTTTGGCACCAGGGACCAGTGCTCCTATGAGATTCTAATGCCTGATAATCTGCGGCGGTGATGCCAGTGCTGGGGAGCAGCTGCAAATACAGATGAAACTTCAATTGCTTGCCCATAGCTCACCTCCTGCTGTGCGGCCTGGTTCCTAATAGGCCTCCAGCTACAGACCTATAGAGGGCGCTCGACCTGGGGGGGTTGGAGGCTCCTGTGCTATAAAGTATAGGTTGGTGCGGCCTGGTTCCTAATAGGCCTCCAGCTATAGACCTATAGAGGGCGCTCGACCTCGGGGGTTGGAGGCTCCTGTGCTATAAAGTATAGGTTCTCTATTCCCGTACCTCTTCTGTTTGTTCATCACACATGTTGAGAACTCACTTCTGCTGTAATTTAAGCTCATTTTCTCATTTGTTCTGTTCTCTCTGGAGACAGAGTGAGCATCCTCCTTATAAATCTAGGGCTCAGCTGGCTTGATGATGTGGGGAACCTCAGGGCTGTTCCTGGCACTCATGTTTATATGTGTGATGGGCCAGTCTCCTCACCACCCCCGTAAGAGCCATTGTTGAGTAACAGGTGGTGGCAGCAGAAGCTAACACTGATTGAGTACTTGCTCTGAGTCAGGCACTTTAACTGCACAAGCTCAGCTGATTCTCACCAACAAACATTGCTTACAAATGGCAGAGCCAGAATAGGAAGAACCCAGGACTCGTGACTCCCAAACCTTTGTTTTTGGCCATCACTGAGTAGATGTCAGCCTGGAGTTCATTGCAGTTACCTGGAACGCATAACCAAAACATACACGTGTGGGCCCTGCCCCGCAGGAGTACTGGGTCTGCGGTGGGGCTCAGACATCTGTTGCATGAATAGGCTTGGCGATTTGACTTCAGCCTCCATGTTCTCTCTAAGCCTTAGGTGAGTTCCATCTGTGATCCATCTCCTGTCCCATCACCACTTGGAGAGTTAACCTTTCTAACCTGAGGGATTTGCTTCAGCCTTCCTTTCCTCTCAGGCCACCATCTGTTTGGGTTGGCCATGGTAGCCTCACAGGATGCAAGCTGGGGCCATGGATGTGGCTGAACTGGGAAACTTACTATGCACCATTCCTCAGGTGTGGCTCGCTGCGGAGGCATTGCGGGAACTCAGGTGTGAGCTCTTGTGCAGAGTGACTTGTGCCTTGTGACCAGCATCCTCCGGGGAGGGAGAGGGCAGAGGCATAGAGGAGGAATGGGCTGTGGCTGTATCTGTAATGTTTTCTTTCTTATTTTTTGGACGAATCTCAAGGAAATTGTGCGAGAGAAAAAAGTCAATTCCAATAGGCTATATACTAGATTATTACATAATCTTCTTGATATGACAAATTTACAGAAGTGGAGAACAGGTTAGTGGCTGCCGGGGGTCAGCGCCAGGGGGTGCTACTTAAGGGCACCATGGGGACCCTAGTGATGGAAACGTTCTGTGTCTAGACTGAGTCGGAGTCAATTTCCTGCTTGTGATACTGCACTGCGGTCTGAGAGGTGTTGCCATAGTGCGAAACTGGGGATCTGTTTATTCCTTACAACTTCGTGTGAATCCTCAGTTACCTCAAAATAAAGAGCTCAGTTTAAAAAAGGATAGAAGGCAAACATGGCAAAATATTAACAGCTGTTCTATATGGGTCTTGGAAATCTGTTATGTTTCTTGTATCATTTTGCATTGTTTTCTGAATGCTTAAAATATCTGGTAAAAATGAAACCCTAGAGTTACCTAGTCAGCTTCTGAAGTATGCCTTCTTGCCCAAGCCCCACCATTGGTCCCCTCAGGCCGGTGTGAGGGAAGCACGGTTCTGAGGAGCTTTGCAAGGGTTGGGAGGTGGTGCTCAGCTGTGCTTCGGACAGGGCTGAGAACCACCCTTCTGACCTCTTGCTGCCCCTCTTCAACCTGGGAGAACATCTAACATGCCTGGAGGGTAGGACTGCCGGGTAGCTCTGCAGTGCCCCTGTGAATCTCCCTGATATGTTAAGAAGTTGGGCAAAATTACACTTCTAAACTCATTCTTGGTGATGTTACTTCTAGACTCACAGAGCCATAGGCTGTCTTCTCACTAGACGCCTTTTTGTGTAGTATAAGAGACATGCATACCAGAATTTATTATATAGCTAAACCACAACTTCACATTCAAAAGGGACTAAATGAGACATATAGTTCAAATGTACAACCAGAAAAGAATGACCGAAAGATAAGTTAGATTAGAATAGAATCTTATTAATCATTAAAGAATGAAGTGTTTTCAACCCAGCGTCACAGGATGTACTTGGCCATAGCAGGGCTATTCACATGGATTCTGAATGACAATCAGAAGATATTCCTTATCTGTGGAAAGATATGGACAAAATTAAACCACTCTAAAAATTAAATTGATAAGTGATTATTGCAACTAAGCTGCTTTTCTCTTCGAAACACCACTTGGACCTTATATGGACCAATGGTTTCCCACCTTGGTTGCCCATCAGAATCACCTGTTGAGCTTTCAAAAAATACCATTACCTGGGGCCCAGCTCGAGAGATTATGATTTCATTGGTCTGGGGTGGAGTCCAGGTATCAATCATTGTGCCTGTCAAACTCTCCAAGTGCTTCTAATGTGCAGCCAGCATGACAGCACAGGTGTAGCGAAAGCTTTAGTTTATGGGTAATTCTAATTTTACAGATGTACTACTATAGAGAAGTTTGTTTTAGACAAGATTTAGGAGCATGAGTCCTGTTTTACACTGACATATACCAACACCGTGAATGTAATTCCTTCAAGGAAGTAAGTATTTTTCGGTGTTTGCTGTCTTTTTGTAGGCCAGATGAATGCGAGCACCCCACAGGGGGAGTTTGAAACTCTCCAGCCCTGTGATCCATCCTCTACTTTATCCCCAGGACAGGCGACATTTCTTACACTCTTCAGAAAGTTTGTGTGCTAAGTCCACTTAACTTGAGACCTACATCTCCTAAATTTTTTATTACTACTAATAAATGCGATTTCCTCAAAGATCAAATTCATCACTAATGTCACAAAAATTTCAAGCCGGAATTTTCACATTCAGAAATCTGTCTTCATTATGTAATTGAAGAACATTATGTGCCATATTGCATATTAAAATCTATACTCTTTGTTCTTTGAAACAGAGCTTTTATGCTGTAAAGCAGAAAGATGCTTTGAATATGAAACAAAATGCCAAATTACCTGGAGCTACCATGATTTCATGTTTCTTTGATCTGATCCTAAGAAAAGTTAGGTCGTTCTGAGGATCAATATCGCGGACTGTGCTCTTGGCTTTCACTGTCAGTTGATGAAGAAGACCTGCATATTGAACGGTTGTTGAGTTGTCCAAGGTTGTTCGGATCGGAATGCCTATTACGAGATTTAATTTTGGGTTAAAATTTTTTCTGATTATAAAAATAATATGCACATTGTAGAAATATTAGAAAATACTGATAATAGTGAAGAGGAAGAAAAAGTGATGGCTGACGTTATCCACTGGTAACGATTTTAGTTTATTTCCTTCTAATTGTTTTGTCTTTACATGGATTTTAAAATACAGTTGGCTCAAACTATAATTGCAAATTTTACTCTTGCCTTCATTTAAGTGACAGAATACAAGTTGTCCATGTTGGTGACAATGTCATCAGCATTATTTCGAATGGCTTATAGATGTTTTATGGATATATCATAATATAATCAATCCCCTATTGTTGGATTGTTAGGTATTGTGTTTTTGTTTTTGTAGCTAAGGGTGCGATGAACAAATCTTTTAGAAGTTGTTAATTCATTATTTCAGTACTAAGTTAACATATTACTACATGAAATGCATTCCCCCAAGTGTCCTAACCTACAGCAAGTCTGCTTTGAAATGCTTGGTCTGTGACACAGTGCTAGTTTTCTCTCCTGAGGACAGAAATAGAAAGGGATATCACTGTACATGTTAGAGGGTATATCAAAAGGATTTTCTAAATTCCTTCACAACATCCGGTATTTTGCAAACCTTAAAATTTATAGTAGAAAATACAGCAACGAAGACTCTGGACATGCTGAGCCCTTCCTGGTTTGCACTCATTCTTATTTTAAGCATTATTACATCTGGCTACTCGTGTGCTCTATTGTTCCATTACATGGGTTTAAAACAGTACCTATTAATTCAACTGGAAAAATCTAGCCAGACAAATATGCAAGTATAATTCAGCTCAAATCAATCTAGCTCAATTCAGGCCACTTAAGTGGTTCAGTGCTTATTAAGTTACAGGTGCTCTACTAGGTATTTTACACATACTGTCTCTAATCAGGTGGCCTTCATATTATTTTGAGAACTATCACATAGCCAGGGAATTCCAGGGATTTGGTTTGCATATGTATCTTTAACTTAGGAGAACAGATGAAGGTGAATTTTGGAATGCTGTCAAATTCTTCAGGTACCTGAATTAAGGCCAATCAATAAAAGAGGCCAACATGGCTCTTTAAGAGTGGAACAGCATTACAAACTTAGTATTTTACCAGTTTTTCATGACGCTCTTTGAGAGCCTCAATTCTGACTTTGAAACAGACTAATTTCTTTCTCTTTAAAACAAATTGTCATCTTCATAACAGTCTTGCTAAAACAATACAAGGACAGTATTTCCAGGAAAACCAATTCAATAAATAAAGCTTTATATAAAACTTGTTAATTTCTGTATTATTATTTGTAGGCCACTTTTTCCCCAGAAGTCAGTTTTGTCTTTCACACCTGATGAAACATCACAAAGCATGTGTCTTTAACAAGCAGGAAAATGAAATGTAACAGGCACTCAACCTCGTAAGAGTACTTTTTGACGAATAGTTTCATTTTGCATCCTAAATAGTGACTACCTATAAAGTCTGCATTGCTCAAGGTCAAAACAAGAAATACAATCAGAATAAATTATTTAACATGTAGATGACAAGATTATGAATCAGATGCTCAGGCTTATTTAGTTAGTCTATTCATGGTCCACATCAATAAATAAAACAGGTAGCTTTTCTGAAGAGTAAATGCACGCTGTGGAAGCTCTTGGAGTTTCTTGTATCCCCTACAGACACTTGAACAAAATCAATCAACAAATATTTATGGAGCTCTTGCTTGGTACCATGCAAGGCAATTAAGAAATAATTTATTAAGAAGTAATTTTAGCACATGGTATAAAATTCACCTACTTCCCCTTCTGAGGGTTAACCACTGCTCCTGGTTTCTTTGGTATCCTTCCAGAGATGTCCTAAGTCTATTTAAGTATGTTGGTGTTTGTATTCTTTATTTTAATTGTATCATTCTCTATTCTACGCCTAAATTTTTTTCACTTAATATACTTGGGAAATGGTTCCATTCAGTACACCTAGGGCCAGGTCATTCATGTTAATGGCTATGTACTATGGTGTCGAATGGATGCTTTGTAATATACATAACTAATGTAGCCTCCCGACAAGCATTTAGGCTGTCCCCAGTTGTTGACTTTTACAAACAAGGCTACAGAATATGTCTTTGCGTACGCCATTTCACATTTGCATATAGGCGTAGAATAAATTCATAAAATGGAACTTTTAGAACAAAAAGTATGAATTTGATATTGCTGGATTTATGGGACTACTTTAAAATATGACTCTACAATCCCAGTAAGCTTGTACTGTCTCACTGTACATTCGTACTGTAGTTGGTAGGCTGTATTTCAAAAATAAAAAGAGTTAGCTGGATGGCTGATAAAAATCTAATGAAATTCAAATGATAGATTGTTAGAAATGTCAAGAATATTTAAAATTAAGAGCCTATGGAAAGCAGGCCTATATGTATATATAAATATAGGACAGATGTGACTGCCTGGGAAGCACATATATATTTACCAGTATCTAATTCAATGATCAGTGCTGTAATAGTGTAAACAATGGATGGTTTTATAAACGAGAAACCAATGTTAACAAAGAATCTAGTCTAATAAAAATCCATACCACTCAGTGCTGGGCTAAACTGATTAGTCTTCTTTATTGTCAGAAATAGGAGGTCTATGTTTCAATAATGGTGAAATCAAAATACTCTATTTAACATGACATATGATGAAATCTCATTGTGTAAACATGGTAGCAGGCCTACTTAACCACAAATAAAACCTGAAAATATGTTAAAATGATTTGTCTAGAATTAGTGGACTAAAAACACTAGCAGAGAACAAGAACATATAAATACCATCTTAGGTAAATATTTTCAGCATCAAATTTCATGGGACTTCTGAAAGCTACAAAGGTGCACTATAATAAATGGCACTTTCATCTAAAATTGAGTAGGCTGTTGAAATGGAGTATTTTATTACATTCTGGTCACACAACTTATACCACACGCTGTTAACAAACATCCTTGTCATACACTCTGGTTATTAATAATCTGACCATAAAAATAAGCCCCTCATTTATATTTTTGGGAAAAAGGTTAATTTGGATTTCAGAAAAGTACCCTGAATCCCAATACAACCTTATCCTAGTAGAGGTTAATTAGAAGAAGTTAATGGGTATTAAAAATAATATTTTGTTGCCTTTGGATTAGAAAAGTGTTGAGAAACCTCAGGAAAATAAAGTAAAAATCACTTTTAATTCCACCACTCAGTGATAATCACCATAAAATATCCCTGCCTTTTCTTCCATATTTATTTTAAGTGTATATGTGTGTCTGGCTGTATTTATGATTAGAAAGTGCTAGTTACCGCTTTATTCCCTGATTTTTTCATCCAATATTGTGAGTAGTTTTCCATGACTCTATTTTAAATAGAGAAACAGTTCATCAAGTAACTATTACACGATTAATTTAAAATTTCTCTTATTCTTAGATTTACTTATTTGTCTGTTTATTTATCGTTATTCTATATGATGCCTCAGTGTGTATCCTTTGGACCTAAATCTTTTCTTTATCATTTCTTAGGGTAAATTCCTAGGAATGGAATTACAGATCAAAGAGTATGGATATTTTTCAGACATTTGGTGTGCATTGCCAAGATGATGTACTTTAGACTAAGAACTTCCAAAGTAACATATTAAATTAGTTGTCCTGGATGCCACAGGTGAATGGCCCTGTACTGGGTTGAATAGTGCCCCCTCCCAATTCAGAGCTACCTTAAACCTCAGAATGTGGCCTTATTTGGAAATAGGGTCTTTGCAGCTGTAATCAGGTAAGAAAATTAGGTCACACTGGATTAAAGTGGACCCTAATCTAATGACTAGTGTCCTTAGAAGACAGAGACAGAGAGGAGAATTCCACATGATGATGGAATCAGAGATTGGAGGGATGTGTCTACAAGTCGAGGAATGCCAAGGATTGCTGGAAACCATCAGAAGCTTGGAGACTGGCTAGGAAGGATCATCCTGCAGAGCCTTCAAAGACAGCTTGGCCCTGCTGACACCTTGGTTTCAACTTCTAGCCTCTGGAACTGAGATAGAATAACTATCTAATTTTTAAGCCACTAAGAGTGTGGTACTTTGTTATGGCAGCCGAAGGAAATGGTTAGAGGATCTCTGTGAAGTCACACAGATAACTGTTCATATTAGGGGGTGTGGCAGAGTTTATGCAATTATCTGGAACTAAAGTCAGTTCAAACAGAACAATGCACTAGGTTTGGACTGCTTCCTGAAAATATTAGGCATAGCTGACTTACCCATAAGGCTGATCTTAAATCCATGCCCTCCTGATCACTCTAGCTGGGTAAAATTATCATATTCATTTGGCATTGAGTTATTTTTAATTTAATTTTATTATTTTGTACATCAAATGTTTTATCTAATTAATACAAATCAATTAAAAATTCCCACGTTCTGAGAATTATTTATTTATAATTCTATTAAGTGTTGGGTATTGTGCCAGGCACTTGACAATGATTATTTCACTTATCACGATGATCAGTAAAGTCAGTTATTTTCCATTTTTAATGATGAGAGATTGAAGTTTAGAGTTTAAAGACTTTAAGTTGGTAGTCGTGCAATAAATATTTATTGATAGATTTGCTCCAAAATGATTAGCCATGAGACTGTTGCCAAGCACTGAGTTGGCAATGTGCCAATCACATGGTTGTACCACAAATTATGTGAAGTCACTACTCTTATTTCGACGAATACTCTGGGATTTGTGGCACCTCTTGCCCTTACAAATGCCTGAATTAGCAGGGCAACCAGCAAGAGTCTTTAAGAGGTTGCCACCATAGCCGAGCATGAAGCAAGGTGCCAGAGAAGTGCTTTGTTGATTAATAGAGACTGTGGAGCGAGGGCAAATTTTTAGTATAATTCTACAGATTTCAGAGGTGGAAATGTATTGGTTCTTCTTAAACTATAACCACAAAGACTATACTATAAATTGCGTTACAGTTCTCAAAGATTTTATTACATATGATAAAGGAACAGTTTCATTTAAAATGAAGACTTCACAATGTCACAACAAAACCAAACTGCCAACAATGATAGTCCCCCTACCTTCAATATATAAGTTTTATTGGTACTCCTGAAATGTTAGAAGAGAGTTACCAAAGCTTTAAAAATTAGACAATGTGTAGTGTTTCTTAGGAATATAGAGACATTTTTAGACATGTCTTATTCATATTTATATCCCTAGCTCTTAGCAGAATGCTTGGCAAGTAATAGATACTCAACAGATGTTTGATAAGTAAATGTTATAGCTAAAATATACAAAATATGCTTTTTATTTCAAAATCTAAGATGCTTTTCTTAAGGCTTGGCACAACAAACAGGTTCTTGGTTGGCTTCTGAATGTCCAGAAGGCACCCGTGACGAATTTACCTTCTGCATTTACAACCATCGTTCCAATAACCCCTTTATGGCTCTGTATCCTCTTTAGGGTTTCCTCCACCTCTGCCTGGAAGAGATCAGGATGGCCATTAACCAAAAGGATCTTTGTGGCGACCCCATTCCTAAAGAGAATTATGTTTAGAAAGACTCCTACACCCCTACCTCTTTAACCTACAGTATTGAATGTTCTAATCTCAGACGTTTAAAAGACAGCTTTGAAACTGTCAACTCTCATATACAAACCTATATAAAACCCCAACACACAACCCTGAGAAATCTCTTGGACTGAACTCTTCTAGAGACAGAAAGTTTACTGCCCCACAAGAGTGCACTCCATTTTAATTTATATTTCGTGGGGAAGTATTCTTTACATTGGTCAGAAATCTTTCTGTATTCATTGATCTTTCCATATTCATATGAAAAATTCCTTTCTACATTACAGTACTTTAAATATTTATAGAGCTGTATCATTGCCATCCTCTAAAAGTATCCTTTAATGAGAAATCTTATTTCCAGTCCCAAATGTTACCTAAGTGGGAGTTCAGATGATTAAGTTTAGGATATTTTGTCAAAACGTATTCCAGGATTCCAGGCTTCTCTTGATAGCTGTAGCCTGGGTCTCAGTGCAAGCTTTTCAGCCATGAACGTTTATTTTGGAACCCACTGGGGTTTAAACTCAGCTTTCAGAATGAATCTTATGCATAAACTATACTGTATCAGTGTTCTTTCCTTCTACAAATGCTAAAATCAAGAATAATCTTCAAACCTGCATATTGTTCCTGAGTATCACTGTATATTCTGAATTTAAACAATATTCTGTAGTCTCTTGATGAGAGTTTGGTATAATTTTTTTTCTTCCCAGCATCGTACAGGTGAACATTATGTTACTTTAGTCAAAAGGCAGTTTTTATTTGCATCTAATGTGCATGGGAAAACATTTCCTCCTTTCTTACCACTAAGGCAGTTGTTTTCTGAATTTCAGGCATTTATATACCAGATTCATGATTTTTGCCATTATGAATACCATCTTTGTTATTTATCTAGCTCCTTTCAAAAATTATCTCACTGCTAAAAGTTTAAATACAATTAAAAGGAAATCCTACATCACTACCACAAACGGAAACCTGGTATCTTATGTCATAATCAGAAATAACCCTAAAAAAGGAGGGGAGGACATATTATTAAATTCTACCCTAATGAAGTCTCTGAGCTGAGAACTGTTCTTTAATGAAAAATTGAAATCATGAAGTGATAACGGTATTAATAACCTAATAGTGCTAGAAACTTTCTCCTAGATATAAAGGCAGAAAAAAAAAAAAAAGGAATAACTTTCTCAGATGTGATTCACTCTGTGTTGGTATTTCTGAGCCACCTTATGTAGCAACTAATGTTTGCATGTCACTTTGGGAAACACTGCACTAAAGCATAATAGCTGTACAAGGGATCAATAATTTATTACATTTTTGCCATCTTTGAGACAATGTCCACAGCTCCTTACAACCACTGCCCTAGCTTATATTTTTCTCTTTTCTCTCCCAAACACCCCTCTCTGCTCTTCCCAGCCTCTCCCTCTCTTTTCCCATTGTGTTTTCCTTTCGCGATTTCTGAGTCCTCCTGCTATGATCTATTGATCCCCATACCCTTTTCATTCCTCTTAAAACTCTGCTATCGCTTTGCTCTTTTTCAAACTTTCCCCGGTCTCCACTTTTCCTTTTCTTCCGTCTGTCTGTCTGCTATCACTCTTTCTTCTTTTCTCTCTCTTCTCTCTCTCTGTCTCTGTCTCTCTCTCTCTCTCATCTATCCTCCTTCCCTCTTTCTCTCTCTTTCTCTTCTCTCTCTCTCTCTCATCTATCCTCTCTTGCCTTTCTTCTTTCCTTCTTTCTCTTTGTTTTCCTTTCTTCTCTCCTAATATCTCCTCCTCCGCTCTCCCCATTCCCTTGCGCTCCTGGTCCCATCTTTTTCTTCCCTCCAGGGTGATTTTTCTCTCCATCGCTCCCCTCCCCTTTTCAAACTTTCCTCTCTGCCGAGATCTCTCTCATCCCCCGCAGGATCTTTCATCCCTTCAATCTCTCTTTCTCGATATCTTCCCTCCCCAAGTATCACCCCCAGAAATCACCCCTCCAATTCCCCCCGCCCCCAAGATAGCTTCACCATCTAGACATCTTCCCGTCTCCCTCTCATCCCTTCAGGATCTCCCTCTCGCCCCTCCAAGAAACTTCTGGAACCCCCAGCCTTTGCCGCGGCTCCGGCGCTGGCGAGGCCTGGATCGATCTCGGGAGCGGGCAGCGAAGGCCTCGCCGATAGACGCCCTTGGAGCAGCGGTTGGAGGACGAACACCCCAAATTTACCATCGCGCGGGCTGCGAGACTCTGGGCTCAGTCCGGCGGCACCTCTACCCGGGATGTCAACAACGCGTCTAGCCGTTGCTAGGAGACGGGGGAGGAAGTGACCTCCCGGAAGCGTCGGTGCCCGCGCCTGCGTGCGCGAGGGTCGGACCGCCGCCGGGACGGCTTTTCCGCCCTGCACTGGCCTGGCGCCTCCCGGCCGCCGTAGGCGGAGGTTTAGGCAGTGTCCCCGAGACCTCACCTGGGTTTCACCCAGGCTGCGGGGCGGTGGGGCCGAGGAGCGGAGAGGGGCATAGGCCGAGCTCCAGGTCATTCGTTCGTCCATTCATTCATTCATTCCTTGAGGTACGCATTAATGTAACAGCCACTTCCTCGTTCACGACCACCTACCACGTGCCAGGCTCTCCTCTGGGTCTAGGGTACATTCTGGCTGGGGAGGCAGACAGAATGCGACAAAGGAAGCAGTGCTCTCCAGGTGTGATACCTGCAGTGGAGCAGATACACAGGGGATGGGTTCCTCTGACTCCGACTTTGGGCCACTTTAGACAGTAATAGACTCAGCTGCCTCGTGACACTCGGAGTACTTCCCTTCAACTCTGCCATGCGCAGCGCTCTTAAGTGTGTTCCCGCGCCCGGCAAGGGGAGATTTTTATTAAAGAAGAAATATATCTCAGCGTCGAATAGTACAAGCATATATATGTTCGCTACTTCCCTACCCCCGCAACAGTAGGGTAAGCTCCATATTACATTTTATGTTCTTACCTAGTTGTAGTACCCCGTATTGTTCTTCACTCAGCTGAAGAGTTGCTACTTACCAGTATTTTTATTTACTCCGTTAGTGTCTTTCTTTTGTGATCATTATTTATCAGCAGTTCTGAGTTGCTGAAAAATTTGCAGGTGGTAGTGCGGTGGTTCTACAAATTGCCCTAGAAGAGAGCATTCCATTGGGTATTTAAGGAACTGAAGGAGGGAACAGAAGTTAAAGATCAATTAGGGTGGTCAGAAGTCACTTGACCTTTTGAAGGGCATCGATAATATCTTTGCAGCCTGGGAGGCAGAGACCAACTATTGTGTGAAAGGCGGCAGGACATTTCATGGCTGGAGATACAAAGTCCTGGGATTTGAAGACGGTGAACACTGATTACTAGATACGAGCTGTAGGTTGGGAATGTATCCCCATAGGGACTATGCTATGATGACTTTCTATAGTACTGATTCAGTTTGCACTCCTTTTCCTGAAAGCAGCCTCACTTGTTAGGCATGCTTATTGTTAGGAATGTCAACTAGAATCTGAATGGGCCCTTGTCAGGGATGCTCCGAAAACAGTTTTGAACTTGGTGGTGATTTTGGACTAGATGATTAGATGATCCATTTCAACATGGAGTCTTTCATTTTATGACATTTTGTACAGAAACACTCTGAGAAGCTCTAGCTCTGCTTCAAAAATCCCCCCGCCCCGCCTAAGGGAGGAGATTCTGGTCACTGTCATTCTCTTTCTTCTCCAAGAAACTTGTGCTTCTTAAAAATCCAGGTCACAATAGCTAACTAGTCCCCCGTGTCACTCAATACCTGGAAATCCAACCAAGATGATTTGGATTGGGCATGGAAGTCCAACCAAGATGATTTGGAGTAGACAGCTAAGATGGTGGTGGGGGGGGAGTCTGGTGTGTGTGTGTGTGCACATATACAGATCTGGCTCTTGACTGGTTGCCTGTATCTACCATTTTAAGTACTAAAAGTATAGATATTTACAGTAATACTGGCTTAACAGTAAAATGATTAGGCTCTCTGGGTGTTTCTGATCAAGGAGATTCCTACTTGATTGTGTAGCCATTTGTTTTGCTTATAAAAAATCTGAGGCAGTGCACCATATCTGTTATGTCAATCAGCTTTAATGAAGGAACTGACTGCATATGCATGGAGTGTGAATCCCCTCATTTCTGGAGTCAGGGTGTCAAACTCGTTCAATAGCTGACAGCTTTGATTAGAGCAAAGAAAGACTACAGCATGAAAGGCACTGACAGGAGTACCCATCTGCTGAAAAAGTAATAAGAAGTAGCCAAACTGACTTCCAACCAGCAGTCAAGTTTGACTCACTAAGCACAGGAAATCAATGGGGAGAACATGAGCCATTTTCTCAGTATTGATTTTCACTTCTAATTATTCCTTGGAGGTAGCTTGGTTTAATTTTTATGCCTTTTTTGGACTATAATGAATATCCAGAGCTGTGCTATATAAAGTATCCTGGCAGTGTCCAACGTGTTCCCTACTCTGTCCTCAATACATGTAAATTATCCCTTTCCCTTCTTTTCTCATCTCCTGGCCCCTTCTTTTGACCCACAGTAAGTGCTAAATAACTTTGCATTTAAGTGAAAGAATTAATAAATAATACTTTTTGCAAGTACTCTGAAATGACCCCAACAATTCTTCCCACAATTTTGTCAAAATTAGATGATTTTCTTTTGAGGTCTCTTTTTCTCTTCGATAATTTGCTACCGCTCTCTGCTTAGCCTGAAGAACTTCAGGTAACTTGATAATCTTGAGTTTTCTCTTGGGATTTTTCTGTACCAGCGCACATATCTCTGGCATTCCTTCCTCGTTGGCAAATACTATAAACTGGGCTATGGAATATATTTTGTGCCCATTTTCTCATAAGATAAGGCATTGTTTGTCAACTTGCCTCGTTGGCAAATACTATAAACTGGGCTATGGAATATATTTTGTGCCCATTTTCTCATAAGATAAGGCATTGTTTGTCAACTTAAACAGAACATCTAGAACTCTACTGGTTTCACTCCAGAAAGTACTAGATTCTTTGAAAATGTTCTTTCATAGTAAGACAGAATTAAAGGATGTCAATGATATCAGTAAGTATTCCACAGAACTGACCTGATGCCATAGAATTACCTAATTATGGATTGAGGGTCTCATAAGATCAACCATTTGCTACTTATTAGGACAAAGGTACCCTCTAGGGTATTCTTTCCAGAACTTAAGTGTAACATACGCATTTATTTCCTATAAGGGAATCCTGCCTCTTGGAATTATATGGTTTCCTAGAGCACAGAATTTGGCATTATATGCAGCTAGGGTTGATGTTTCTAGGTGTTTCCTTTAGTAAAATTAATTCTCAAGGTGTTTGCTTCCTTATTTATAAAATAGGAAAGATAATATCTACCTTAGAGGGTCTATGTGATGTTTAAATGATGTCATATGGATAAAATGTTTGGCTTGTACTAGGTGCCCAATATGGATCATTTAACTGCATTTCTTTCCTATGTCTTCTTTTCTTTAGTCCATCCTTCTTTCTTCCCTCTATTCCTTTCCCCCCTTTCATCTTCCTCATCTTTCTATTTCTCTAGCTTTTTCTTCACTACTTCTTTCCCCCATTTCTTTCCTCTCTCCCGTCTAACTACCTTCTCTTTGACCTCCTTTTCCTTCATGCCCTCCCTAGGAAAAATATCCAGAATTTGTATTGTTGACTTTCTCACTAAAGAACACCTTTCCCTTTCTTATTCCCTTTGTCTTGTTATTCACTTAGAATATTCATCGAATGTAATTCATCTACCTCTAATCTTATTTTTTTTACAATTCCCATTTTTAAACTTCTAGCTCCAACAAGCAGTTCCCATATCAGTGCATCACACTCAGTAGGTATTCTCAGTATCTGAGATCTGAGGGCAAACCGTAAATATTTCCTTATCTGTTCATTTTGTTCAGAGAAGGGAGGACTGATGGGAGCAATAAATCCCAGGCCCTTACTGTACTTTCTTTTCTTTCTGATAATCTAGTTCCAAGGTCTCTGATTTACTTTTTTCAAGTGCTTTGATCTATTTAGTTTTAAAATTACTTTCACTGGTAAGTATAGTACACACAAAAATGAGGTGTACAAAACAAAAGTTAGGTCAGTGAATTTCTAACAGAAGTTAAGTGCATAAAACAAAATGTACAGTCAGTAAGTTACCACAACGTGAACTTTTATGTAACCCTCAACCAGGCCAAGAGATAGAACACTGCCCATATTCCAGAAGCTTCCACGTGCAATTCCCAATTATTACTCTCACACTGTATGGTCTGAAAAGCCTCAAATATTTATTATTCGGCCCTTTAGTGAAAAATTTGCTGATGCCTGTTCTCTTTAGTCTTCAAAATACGTTCAATGATTGAAAACAAAAAATGTAATTTTGTTCAGGTTTTTCAAAGTATGCAAATGTAATATATAAAATAACTACAACATAAAGGGAGGAGGGTAAATAGGGTAAGCATCTTACATTCCACTTGAAGTATTCAAATATTATTTTAAGTAGACTGTGAAAAATGAGGTGTGTAATCCCTAGAGCAACCAATAAAAAAGTATACAGATATAGTAAAACATCACAATAGACAAATCGAAATGGAATACTAAAAATTATTCAAATAATATAAAAGGAAAAGAGGCAAACAGTGGAATGGAAAAAAATGGAAAAATCTGAAAACCAATAATATTGTAGAATTAAATTCTTATATATCAGTGATTACATTAAATATAAATAGTCTAAGCACACCAATTAAAAGGCAGAGATTGTCAGAATTAATTTAAAAAATGATCAGTGATTTCTGTTTCTGGAAAGATGAAGTAGATGCACTTTCCCCTGTTCTTCTCACTGAATATAACCAAAGATCTGGAAGTTATACAAATACAACCAGACTGTGAAGGATTGAGAGAATCAGATTGTCTAGGGACTCTGGGACCCAAAGAATGACATGATTGTAAGTTACCTGGGTTTCCTTTTTGCCTCATGTATTCCAGTCTTGGAGCTGAAGAAGCTGATAACCCAGAACTGTCAACAGACACAGACATTCTAAAGATCCCCAACAAAAGCTTATTCTCTAGCTAAAAGACCCAGAAAGGGACCACCAGCAAGATAGAAACTTAGGAAGTAACCACTCTTCTCCAGCCAAATGCCACAGAAAAAGACTAGCAAAGGCCAAGTGGAGAGTATAGACTTCTACTCTCAGCTTGCTATAACTCCCCCACCCCACACCAGTATGTTGTCAGAGAATGCTGAATAGGGAGTCAGTACTTTCATCCCACTCAGTGTTAATAGTTTCCTTCCCCACTCCATGCAGCAGTTTTAGTGAGGTCCATGTGGGGAGCCTGGATTGCTGCCCCCACTATAGCATATGAAGTTACACTAAATATAAACAGACCAAATACACCAATAAAAAGACAAAGATCATCATACTGGATTAAAAAATGTAAACTAACTATATGATATCTACAAGTAGTTGACTTCAAAATAAATAATATATACATGTAGAAAATAAAAGGATAGAAAAGATATATCATGTAAACTATCCAAAGAAAGAGTGGTTATATTAATATCAGATAAATAGACTTCAGACCAAAGAAAATTGCTTGCTACAGAGAGAACAATAATGATAAAATGGTCACTCCACCAAGAAGGCATAGCAAATCTGAAAATGGGTGCACCAAACAACAAAGCTGCATACTAGGTAAAGCAAAAAGTGATAGAATTAAAAGGAGAAGTAAACATTCTCAATGATAGGTGAAGACTCAATGCTCCTTTCTCAACAATTGATAGAAGAATCAGATAAAATCGTCAGGGACAGAAAACTCACATCATCAAACAACAGGGTCTAGTTGACATAGAACACTCCAACCAGTGTCAGCAGAATCCATTTTCTTTTCAAGTCTCCACAGAGTATATACCAAGATAGACCAAATTCTGGGCCATAAGGCAAACCTCAATAAATTTAAGACTTGAAATCATACAGAGTATGTGCTCCAACTATAGTAGAGTCAGGCTAGAAATCAGTAATGGAAAGATAATAGGAAAATCTCCAAACGCTTGGAAAATTAACAACACATTTCTAAATAATCCATAAGTCACAGAGGAGATCTTAAGGGAAATAAAAGAAATTACATTGAACTGAATGAAAATAAAAATACAGCATATCAAAATTGTGGGGTACAACTTAAAGCAGTGATGAGAGAAATTTATAGCACATCTTAAATTAAGGTGAGCCTGCACATAAAAGACTTAGAAAAAGAAGAGCAAAATAATCCCAAAGTAAGCAGAAGAGTGTAAATTATAAAGATAAAAGCAAAAACCAAAATTTAAAACTGCACAAAAGTACAGAAAAATCAATGAAACAAAGAACTGGTTCTTTGAAAACAAATAAAACTGACAAACCTCTAGCAATATGGACAAATACAAAAATAGGAAAAACAAATTAGCAGTATCAAGAATAAATATGGAATGCCATACATACTCTACAGATATGAAAAAAGATAGAGAACACTATGAATAACTTTACATATATACAGTTGACAACTTCGATGAAATGGACCAATTCCTTAAAACTAGCCACCACAAAAATTCACCCAATCTGAAAGAGATAATTTGACTAGCCCTATACTATTAAAGATATCAAATTAATAATTGGAAAAATTCCCCAAAGAAATTTTCCCTGTATATTCACTAGAGAATTCTATGAAATGTTTGAAGAATAAGAAAATAGGGGAAAACTTTCCAATTTATTTTATGAAGTTAGCATTACCCTGACACCAAAACCAGAAAAAGACAGTATCCCCCCGCCCTCCCCCCCCAAAAAAAACAGAAGAAAAGGAAAGATGAAAACTATGGATCAATATCTTCCCTGAATATATATGCAAAAATCTTTAACAAAATATTTGATAATAGTATTAGCAAAATATAGAAAGAATCGTGCACTATTACCACCTGGAGTTTATCCCAGGGATGCAAGGCTGGTTCATCATTCAAAAATCAGTCAATATAATCCATTATATTAACAGGCTAAAGAAGAAAAAATAATCACATTATTATATCAGTTCATGCAGAAGAATAATTTGGCAAAATTTAAAACTTGTGATTTAATAAAAACACTCAGCAAACTAGGACTAAAAGGAAATATCCAGTACTTTGTAAAGAGCATCTATTTAAAAAACTACAGATAAAATACTTCATATTGAAAGACTAAATGCATTTCTCCTAAAATTGGGAACAGAGAAAGGATGTCTTCTCTCACTACTACTGTTCAACATAGTACTGGAACTTTTAGCTAGTGCAATAAGGCACGAAAAGGACATAAAAGGCAAAGAGATGGAAATGAAATAAAACGTATTTAGAGATGACATGATTGAATATGTAGAAAATGCCAAGGAATCTTCAAAACAAGTAGAAATGAAAAATTTGGGTATAAATCTAACAAAACTTGCAAAAGACTTATATGCCAAAAACTACAAACTGCTGATTAAAGAAAATAAGAAGATCAAAATAAATGGGGGATGGCACTGCTTTCCAAATTAACATACAGGTGTAACACAATTCCAGCCAAAATCCCAACAAGATCATTTATAGATATAGAGAAGATTATTCTAATATGTATATTGAAAATCAAAAGAAATATAATAGCTAAAACCATTCTTAAAAAGAAGAATAAAGTTGGAGATATCACTACTCAGTTTCAAGACCCATTATATAGCTATAGTAATCAAGACTGTGGTATTATTGGTGGAGGGATAAATACATAGATCAATGCAACAGAATAGAGGACCCTGAAATAGTCTCACACAAATATACCTAACTGGTTTTTGACAAAGGTGCAAAAGTATTCAGTGTAGGAAGAATAGCTTTTTCATTAAATGAAATTATGGAGAAATTCAACATCCATAAACAAAACAAAACAAAACAAAAAATAAGAAACATTAAAAAAATCCTTGTCTTAACGCTCACACCTTATATACAGATTAAGATTGATCACAGACTTTAAAATGTAAAACTATAAAACTAAGAAAAACACATGAGAAAAATCTTTATACTTTACAGTTAGGCTAAGAGTTCTTAGACTTATCACCAAGGCACAATACATAAAAGGAAAAATTGATAAATTAAACTTCATTTGCATGCTATGTATCTAATAAAAAGACATTTAGATATAATATTTAAATTTGTATCTAAATGGTAGACATTCCTCAAATAGTAAAAAGACAAAAGATCCAGTTAGAAAATGGGCAAAAGACATTTCACTGAAGAGGATGGCCACCGCGGATACACAGATGGCAACCAAGGACATACAAAAATGTTCAATATCATTAGCCATTAGGGAAATACAATTAAAACCACAATGAGCTAGCACTGCACACCTATTGGAATGGTTAAAATAAAAAATAGTGACCCTACTAAATACTGGTGAGGATGTGAAGAAACTGGATAACTTGTACATTGCAGTTTCATTTTATGTGGTTTTCTTTGTATTTATTCTGCTAAGAAATCATTGTGCATCTTGAAATTGTGGCTTGGTGTATCTTTTGTCAGTTTTGGAACATTCTTATCCTGTGTTTTACCAGTTTCTAGTAATTTAAAAACCATTTAAAAATATGAATAAAGACTTTATATAAAGAAATTGGATGAAAAATCTTTACTCGTTATATTCTGTATGTCTGTTCTCATCTACACAATTATAAGTATGATGATAAGTATATACGCCGTTTCCCTTTTATTGCACCTTAATGATCTCTACCTGAGTCTTAGGATCTACTGGTTATCATTCAATACATGTTAGACTAATTTTGCTATAGTTTTATTTCCTAATTAAACCTATCTCAGGATGTAAGCAGATCTTTAAAAAACTAAAGATAATGGTTTTTGGATGAGGAGCAGTCTGCTGACCTTTTATTAACACTTAATAATCTCTCATTATTTTTTGTTAGCTGGGCATAGTTTTCAAGCACTTAAATGTGCCCTGTCTCATTTGCCTTCACAACGCCCTTAATTTAGTAGGTAGTTCCATTTTACAGTTGTAGTCTCTGAGGCAAAGAAGTCAAACGACAGAATGAGGATCCAGGGGGATAAATCTCATTTCTTACCAGTATGGAACATCCCAGGATGGCTCTGACTCCATATTTGAATGCCTATTGTATATTCTTCACGTTCCTTAGATGTCCCTTTGCTCTTCTATTTCCAAAGTATGATAGTCTTTCCATGGACACCATAAGTAGCCTAGCCAGAAACAAAGTTAGACTCCCTTGTCTTCCTTCTGTGCTATTATGCAGGAATATCATAGTTTTCCAGCTATCCCTGCATAATATTTGTTACCCACTTGGAAAGAGGGAAGAGTCTCAGCTCCCTCCCAGTTGACCTCTGCTTCATAACAGCACACCAGACGTCCCAGAAGGATCCCCTTTTCTAAATATTTTGTTGACCCCTTCTCTTGCAGCTGACTCAAGAATTGAGATGGGTCGTCTGCGGATCCTAGAATGCCTCTGGAGATGGTGAAGAGATGGCCAAGCAGAATTGCCAAGAACCTTGACTAGCAAGAAGCATCCGTTCTTGTGGAATCTTGCGCCTTTCTTCTGATCACTTTCGGGATTAAGACAACAAGGTAAGTGAGGAAACATCCCACTTGTCAGCCACTTGCCCCGTTTCTAGTGTGCTCAGGTAGGAACCCTGACTTCAAAGTGCAGATTAACTCAGATTTCTTTATTTAATGCCTTGCGGGGCAGCATCCCAGTCAGTCCCCTCACCGAGGCAGACAGCGCCCTCCAGTGGAAATGAAGATAAGTGCTCCTCCTTGCCTTTCTGGCCATGTTGAATGTGCATTTTTGCTCTTCCTCTGTGAGGTTGCAGTCAGCTGGGAGTCAGCAAAGCCTGCTGGACTTCTGAAACCAAACAGCATAAGGAGAGTGCTAGTTCTTATGAAGAGCTGGGTTATTTTATTATCTAAATTTTAATCCTCGTACTATGCCTCTAAAGCAGTTTCCTGATTGAGAAAAATTACCCAAAATAACGGAAGAGAGAATGAGAACTATAGAAAATGGGAAATGCTTTGTTATTGCTCTTTCAACCTCAGCCCCAGAACATTGATTAAACTTTGGCCAGTGGAAGGGAATTAGTAAGTGGATCTGCTGGTGTAAACGATTTTAACCATAGGAAGTTAGTTTCTTCTCAACCCCTCTAAATAGAAGTTAGACAGTACTTCAGGAATATAACTTCGAAGTGTTACCAAATGCCCAGTCTGCTTTGGTACTTGTGTGCCTGGGATTGAGACAGCATAAGGACTGTGTGTGTGCAGGGAGGGGGGACCGCCGTGGCTCATGTCATAACGTCCCAGGGCCTGGGATGCTTCAGCAGAACAGCGGTACCACCTTTCCCTCCTGGAGGAAAATTGGGATCCTCTGCCCAATCGCATTGTGATTTTGAGAATATTCAATTTCATTCCATAAATATTCAATTTAGCCACTCCATAAAAATTCAAGATTTAAAAAGATGCTACATGATGTGGCTTGAATTAAAATGCTTTAAATGACATAAGATGCTAAAACTCAGTAGCTGCCTTTCTTTTCGTCTAAATAGGAAAAAACGGCAAGTTTTGGGAAAATGACCCTGTGTTACTTTTTAGAATCCTCTAGGTGGTGCTGCTGTGATAGCCATGGGCTAGAAATGGTTTTAGCAGTTAACTATCAAACCAAATATTTAACTCATTAAATGGCTTATATTATGGTTAATTGCTAATATAATACTATTGATAATTTATACCATCATATTTATATTATATTCTCCTAAGACTGAGCCTGTAGACATAAATTAAACAAGGGCTGGAATACATGTACTTCTCTGGCTATTATTTAATAAGTTTTCATGTGTGGCCGATTTTTCCCACATGCATTAACACCAGCTGTAGGGTTAGCTCTTCCTTCCCTCTACTTGTGTTGGTCAGTGTAGGACAGTGTCTTGTACACAGTAGATGCTAAATTAATGTTTATCAAAGGAATTAATTCTGTTTTGTTTTTCTGCTTTCACTATTGCTTGGGAATGAGATGGATTAAGCCTTTTAAAACCCCAGTCAGACATTGCTGCTTATCTTTGCTAATACAAAGATTGGAAGGCCATTTTTTCTTTATTTCTGAAAATTGCCTGTGGGGTGTGTGTGTGTGTGTGTGTGTGTGTGTGTGTGTATAAAATCACTTATTTTAAAAACAAATTGGTTTCAGGTTGGTTCCATTTGAAATGCAGGAATGGCATGAAAATTGTGTTTGATAATTGCTCAAATCTTAATCAAGATTTTATTAAAATCAATATTTGATATGCTGCTCAATTTAATTAAAATAAACCATAGAGAAATTAGTAATAAATGAGTTTGAAAATCAATTGTAGGATAAGGTATGTTTTTTTTTAATTAGTTAAACATGTGAAATGTTGGGTTAAGCAATTACTGACCACAAAAGGAACAACAAAAAATTTACCACTTTTGTTTACGCAGCGTGAACAACTAATACCATTGAGCACGTACTCTGTGCCAAGCACTGTGCTAAAATCGTCTCTCAAATTCCTTTATTTATTCTGAAACAAAATCCTATGAGTTCTGTCTCCTCAGTGGATGATACAGCCTGGGTTTGAGCCAGGATGAGTGTCCCAGGTCATTCGGCCAGTAAATGGCCAAGGTAGATTTTAATACAATGATCAAGCTTTTCCCTACTACCTTAAATTGCTCACAAATAGGAAGAAAAAGCATAATTTGATTATGATTAATTTAGAGAAGGGCATTGGTGGCAATTTCCTTCCTAAAGGAAGCGTTGCTTTTTCAGACGAGTAATAGACGAGAGAGGGGGAAAAACCCAAATCAAAAGCCATGGGTATTGCTTTGGCAGCTCTGAGTCCCATGGATTGAAAAAAGAGGGAGGGGGGTTATTTTTCTAGACAGACACAGAATACAGTTATTTACTGTATAATTTATGCCATTGAGAGTGGCAGAGATTTATGGTTTTAGTAAAAAAATGTTCTAATTGGGATTAGCTAATGAAAAAGTGGTGGGACTGCAGAGGGAGAGAGCAGGAAACTGTGACTTTAGCTGAGGTGTTTCTGCTCTCATGGGATGCTAACAAAAGGGCCAGTGTTGCGCGCTGGGGCAAGAATCATACATTTAATGAGGCCTTCGGAGTTTGTGCCTGCATGTTCAGTTCTACGTGTTCTTAGTCATCCAAAGAATCGGCTCTAGGAAACTAATGATATTCGTGTTAAGTACTGTGGGCAATGAGAATGAAACCGTGGCTTCCTAAAAGATCTCCCTCATTCCTATTCAATGCGTGTCTGGCGGGATGGAAATAAAAAATCAACAGTAATCACAGCCACACAACTGTGCAACTTCTCTACTCTAGGCGGAGACTAATTTTTCTTTCAAGTTGCTGCTTCCTAAACTACAGTCATTCATGTATCACATGCACAGTTTTTGACATCTCCCTGTAGTTCTTGTGTTACTTAATATTTTCACTTAAAATGGCCCATTTTTTAAAAAGTTAAAATTAAACGTATTTACTTTAGAAGGAGGCTTTGTTTCATGATTGTGAATGGCAAACCAGAGTCACTTGCTTCGAGAAGGATATGAGTTAGAAGACATACAATTAAATAAAACACTGTTATCCAATTTTAACTCCAGGAAAGTGTCCAGAGGTCGTGAAGACATGCTTGTACAAAACTGAGACTTCCTCTTTTATTATATCTGAGGAATAAAAAAGGCTTTGAAAAGGGAATAATTTTTTTTGTTATGTGACTCAGTTTTATCCAAGAAAATGTCTATAAACCACCTCAAATCACGTTTCCCGCCAGAGGTACACTCTCTAGTCTTTGTGATCAACAGCCCATGTATCTTTGTGTGCTGCTCATGTGGCCCCTTTCCTCCCCACCTTCCCCCAATAGTATCTGAACCTTGCTTGACACCCATCTAATTCCACCTACCTTATTTCTCAATGTTTAGAGAATCCTGTTAAGCAAACACAATTGGGATGGTGGGCAGAATACAAAATAAATCGTTTCTATTGTTGGTTAACACTACTTTTCTCCATATTCGCTGTTGGTGATAGTTTTTCTATAACCAGTTGTGGCAAATTTCCAATAATAGTGAAATAAATGTAATGAACAACATGTCTCTTTACTACTCCTGACCTTCATGCACCCAGTTCCCTCCTCCCGAGGGAACCACTGTCATCATGTTTTGTGTGGCATTCTGGAGATATTCTGTGTATGTGCAAGTATATGCATCTCCTTAAATTTCATACAAATGGAAAGCACACTCTACGTGTCATTTTACATTTCCATTTTTAAAACCCAACAATATTTTTTGATGTAGTTTTATATTGGTATGTATAGCCCTAGTCCAGTCTTTTGAATGCTGCATGGAAGTGCTCTATGCATGTAACTAACCCCCTTTTGATGGGCACTTGGATTAGTACTTTTTCTTCCACAAACAATGCTATAATAGCCTTGTATAATTATCTTTGGCTCATCATGACCACTAAGAAATAGATCTACTGCTGGACGGTTCTCATTTGAATGGATGGAGTCCTAATAATAATAATTATGGCAAACATGGTTGTATTTCTTTCATGAGGATTGGCTTTCTCGTCTTTTTCCTCACCCATAAAATAAATTCATATTTGTTGTGGTGTCCTGCAGAGCATGAAGCATCCTGCATGATTTGCGCATGAAGTTGCAGATTCAAAGTTACGTTTGTTGTATTTGTTTAATACTGTTTAATTCTTACTCGTCGTGATCACATTCAAAATTAGTTTTGTAGTTTTGTGCTCAAGGCCTGTCTTTCTTCGTGGATGACAAGGTCCATGAGGTCAGAGAGGGAACTGAGGTTGTTGAAAATCCTAAACTTCTCTAATCTTAGGAAAAATAACTGCCATATTATTTTAATAGCAAGTAGATACACATTCCTAGTGTAGTCCGAATGGAAAATATGGCGGGGGAAAGAAAAAGAGAAGGAAAACCACCCATGAGAGTTGGGGTTGCTATTTCTGACCAAGTTGGGATTGAAAAATACCAGGAGTCTCATAGGAAATCTTATCTCACTGGAAGATGATTCTATTCTCTTGGCCAAAGAATGGTCATGTATTTCTGTGTATATAAAACTTGCAGACCCAGACAGCGGGCAGTCTACCTCTGGCTCAGCCTAACATTTATTATCATTCACGAGGTGGTGTTAGATGCTCAGCTTTTAAAAGAACTGGCTTTTTCAGCAGTATTTTTACCCTTGAGAGTATATATAGAGAGCTCTGTGTTGTATATTAATCAGAGCTTTCACGACTCACTTTGAATGGTATTCGAAATGTGTCTGGGAGTGTGGTGAATGAACTATGCCCAAAGTATGCTCCATTATTTATTACTCAAGAGTCTTTCTATCTGAGACATAGGCTGAAATTAAAGGAACCAAATACCTACCTTTAATAACTCAACATTCTTCCCAGGTTCTGCTCCCTCTGCACCCCACCCCTAAAAGGGTTATGGGATTTGATACCTCATAAGAGTCAGTTTGGATCTAAAGTTGTACAAAATTTGTACTTTTAAATTCCCCACTCTTTCTGTGGATGTGTAGATTTAGAG